GAGGGGCCACAGCCCCGCGAGTCTCACCTGGCTGCGGTCGGACCAGGCCGCGTCCACAACACCCTCCACGGCCGAGTCCACGTCCCCCGAGTCCAGCAGCAGCAGCAGTGACTCCGTGCCCAGCGCCAGGCCCAGCTCAACCCCCTGGCCCGCCAGCGTCCGCCGAAGGGCGCGTCCTTCCTGAGGGACTCATGGGGTCAGCAGAAGCCCAGACCTCCTGGCCATCCTACCACCCATGGCCCACCCGGCCTGTGGCCCTGGAGGTACCTCCACAGCACCGCAGAAGGCCACCTTCTGGACTCCAGGCTGTGCGGCCAGCACAGGCCCCAGGCAGGCAGGGCCGCTGAGCACGTTGAGGATGCCTGGGAAGGAGCCCACCTCCCCGGCCATCTGGGCCAGGAGCAGGGCGGTTGGGCAGGCAGGGGGCACAAGGACCACCACAGTGCAGCCTGGGGAAGGGGGTAGCTCAAACACTCTGGAGGCCAGCTCAGCCCTCCTCCCTCACACCCAGGGGTCCAGCCCTCCTCCCTCACACCCAGGGGTCCAGCCCAGCCCCTCCTCCCTCACACCAGGGGTCCGCCCTGACTCACCCACAGCCAGGGCGGGGCAAATCCTCCACATCATCTCGAGGAAGGAGAATGTAGGTGGCAGGATGAGGCCGACGACTCCTGTAAGAAAAGGAATGAGAGGACTGGGGCCAGCACTGCTGGATTACCCAAGGAGAAGGCCGAGGCCTGGACTCCAACTCACCCATGGGTTCCCAGCCTGCCAGCGCCTCCTCCTGGGTGTATGCCTGGACTGCATGGTACTGGAGCAGCTGCTGGGCCAGTGGGACATCCCCGTCTCGAACCTCTCGAACTGCCCGGCCAGTTACCAGGGATTCCAGTGTCCACAGCAGCCGCTCATGCTTCTGCAGCATCTTGGCCATTCTGGAGAAAGCAAGGTAGATGGCCATTTCCTAGGGCCCTTGTACCTGGACTGCATCCCCTATGAGACCCTACCATTTACTGACAACAGGAAAAAAATGAACCAAAGGCTCATGGGAAATGTAGTTCAAGCTGAGCGTCACCTGGTCAGGTGCTGGGCCCTCTTGGCTCCAGGAATGCTGCTCCAACTTTCAAGCGAGCTGCTGGCTGCGTCCACGGCCGCAGACACATCCTCAGCTTGTGCCTGCAGGCAACTGGCCAAGTTCTCTCCTGGGTGGGTGTGGAAAACCGGGGGACACGGACAGTGGCCGGGGAGAACGTCAAACCGAGATGTGGGAGCCCAGGAGTGGCCCAGCCTGGTCCGCAGCTGCCATGGTGGTCTTGGACATACCACCGGTCATTTATCCGACTGCATCCCACGGGCAAGGATGGGACATAGATTTCCCAGGTCTCCACAGGGCGGGGAACCGTGTCAGCAGGAGGACCCTGAACTCACCTCCCGCCCGGGGGCTGTCTGTTACCTGTGACTGGATCCTGGCAGGGCACGGCACTCCTGTGCTCCGGTTTTAACCACTTCCCATTCACGTAGTGGCCCAAGCGCCGCTCCTGGGAGTCCAGCCAGGCCTGGGGGAGGCGGAGAGCGAGTGGAAAAGTGTGTGGAGACTGCCTAGCCGGAGTCCTTGGGCAGGGGACACTGCTTTCCCTTGCCCCATCAGCCACTTTTTTCTTTTTAAAAAAGGATTTATTTATTGTTATTGCAAAGTCAGATATACAGAGAGAAGAGACAGAGAAGCATCTTCTGTCTGATGATTCACTCCCCAAGTGACCACAACGGCTGCAGCTGCACCAATCCAAAGCCAGGAGCCAGGAGCCTCTCCCAGGTCTCCCACGCGGGTGCAGGGTCCCAAGGCTTTGGGCCGTCCTCGACTGCTTTCCCAGGCCACAAGCAGGGAGCTGTATGAAAAGCAGGGTGCCTGGGATTAGAACCAGCACCCCTGTGGGATCTTGGCACATTCAAGGCAAGGACTTTAGCTGCTAGGCTATTGCGCCGGGCTCTCTCTTCTTTCCTTCCTCTTGTTTTTCTCCTGTCCCCCCAACCCCCGCCATAAAATACACACCAGCTAAAATGTACCAGTTTGACCATGTAAGTAATTCATTCGGCGGTCCTTGGGACATGCACAACGCCACACAGCCATCAGTTCTAGAACAGGTTCCTCAGCCTCAGAGGGGAGTCTAGTCCCCGTTAGTCACTGCCCCTTTCCCTCATTGCTGTTGCTGACAACCACGTCTACTCTGCCCCGAGGGACTCGCGTGCCGTGTGTTCTCCTGTAAATAAAATCCGACTCTCACTCGCTTGGGACGAGCCGTGTTCACCTTGTGTTATGCTTAGAAGCTGCATGCTGTGCCCCGTGCCAGCACTCACTTCCTCTGTGTGGAGGGATGACGCCCTGCGTGGTCCGTCCACGCGCCCCCTCACGGAACCTGGGGTCGCTTCTGCGTCCTGGTCACAGAGGGCAGTACTGTGCAGTCGCCCTTCCAGAACTTTCCGAGGGACAGACCGTGGAAGTGGGTGTGCTGTGTCAGGCTGCGGTTGGTTTGCCTCCCCCCCGCTTGCCCACACCATTGCATGTCCCCACCACTTCTCCTGAGCGCTGTCCCTTTGATGTAAATTGTTTCAGAGACAAAAGACACAGATCCTACCACTGATTCGCTCCCCAGATAACGGGAGCAAACTCAGTTCAGGTCTCCCCTGGGGGGTGAGTGCCTGGGAGTCACCCCCCTCAGCCACTCCAGGGTGAGCATGAGCAGGAAGCCGGAACATGGAGCAGAGCGGACATCACGAGCCAAAACACACCTGCTGGCCCAACGCCCGCCCTTTTTTGCTGCTTTTCTCGCGTCATCCCTCTCCTGTCGGCCAGGCTCCTCTTCCAGCCATGCTGTTCCCTGTCGCTGACTGACTCAGAGTCACCTCCCATTTTGACCTTCTCCAGGCTCCCTCATCGCAGCACCCCTGAAAAGCCATGCTCCCCGGAAAAGCCATGCTCCCCGGCTCTCCCTCCTACCCTGCCCCACATAACGTGTCCTCTCTCTCTTGGAAGTAAAAAATGGTTCCCCCCTCCCTGCCCCAGCTGCTAACGCGGATGGCCGCTGCCGACCGGGGAAGGGGGACTTTTCAGAACAGTGATCTAAGCGAGCCAGAGCTGGCGATACTGAGGCATGACCGTTATGTAACAGAGATATCTGTTGCAAATAAGAACTCAACTGCTCATGGGAAAGTGACAAGACAGCTGGGATTTGTTAAATTATCCTGGGGGTGGGGGAAGACAAGAGGACAACAAATATTGGACAAAATGTTGATCTGAAGTTGAACGATGGGTAAGTGGAGGCTCTTCACCAATACTGCTCACTGTGTGGGAAACGGAAGCACACCACCCCCGGCCCCGCAAAGGAATGTGCACGGGGCCCCGGCCGGAGCCGGCCGACGGAGCCGCAGGCCTGTGCAGCCTGGCCTCTCCGCAGCTGCAGTTGGTTCCAGATGATTTTTGTCAGGAAATTCAAGCCAGGGGTTGCCAAATTTTGGATTTTTCTTTCTTTTTTTTTTTTTTAAGAGAGGTTGAAATCCCGGATGTTTACAAAGAATTAATTGCTTAGTAATTCACATTAAAAAAAAGTTCAGGCCAAAGCCAACAGGTGGGTGAGTCTGGTCTGAGACTGTTGCTAACGGAGGAAAGACACTGTGGGTCGGAATCTGGAGGGGAGAGCGAGCAAGAGGCAGCGAGAGCTCAGCTTCATGAAAGGTGGCCTGTGGGCAAGACCTTGACAATCACAGGTCATGTGTGGCACAAAGACTAGGACGTGGAAGGCATCCCGCAGGAGGGGAAGCCCTAACCCACAGGGGCCGTTTCCCGCCGTCACCTCTGCCACCCCAGGGGTGGGGACACCGTGCTTCCCCCCAGGGCCTCGTGTTCCAGTCTGTTCCACCTCTCTATCTCTCTGGTCACACCCTCTGTGGGTGACACCCAGGAAGCCAAGGGACTGAGTGGCTCAAGGTACGGCAGGCCGCAGAGCCCACACTGGGACCTGACCAGCTCCTCAATAAACTCCTCCCTTCTTCTATAACCAGGTGTCAGCAGGTTTTGGGGGGAGTCCTATCACAAATCCCCCCAGCGGGCCTAGGCTGAGCCACAGCACTGTTGGGGCTGCGGGGCACACAGCACAGATTTTGGGGTCTGGAGGAATCAGGGAGCCCCAGAGCTACAGGGTGTTCTGAGCAGCTGTGCAAATCCAGGTAGGAGGGTGGGTGCTTGAGTTTTAGGGCAGCCCCCAGAGAATTCTGCTACATGAGGGGGCCCTGAGGCAATGAGGGGAGACACCACGGCTAGCTGGGAATCTGGGGCAAGAGAACCCCACAGTAATCTCGGGATCAGGCTGGACGGGCTGGGAAGTGATCCCAAGGGCTCAGGGTAGGGAATGTCCCCCTGGGCGCAGAGCTGGGCACTGACCCAGAGGGATATTAACCCAGAGCTGGCGGCTGGTCCAGGTGGGTGCTGACCCACATGGACGCTAACCCGACCCACATGGACACTAATACAACGATCCACATGGACGCTAATTTGGGAATGGGCACTGCTGACCCGGGTGGACGCTGACCACGTGGAAAGTAACCCGGGATGGGCACTAACCTGGGTGGCCACTGACCCATGTGGATGCTAACCCGGTGACAGGCGCTACATGGTGATCCACGTGTAAGCTAACTGCTGCTGACCCAGGAAGACGCTGACCTGGGCGCTGCTGGCCCACGTGGAAGTTGACCCGGGGATGGGCGCTACACAATGACCCACGTGGAAGCTAACCGCTGCTGACCGGGGTGCATGCTGGCCCACGTGGACGCTAACCCGGAGATGGGCGCTGCTGACCAGGGTAGATGCTGGCCCACGCGGACACTGAACCGGAGTGGACTCTGCTGACCTCGCGCAGGCGCGGCCGGAGGCCAGGGGGGCGGAGCCGCAGGGCAGGCGCGGTGGCTGACGGGACTCGGGGCTCAAACAGCAGAATCCCGCGGGCCGGGGGAGGGGGGAGTGCGCGCGCCAGCCAGGCCCTCACCAGTGCGCATGCGTGGCTCTCCGGCGCCGGTCCGTACTCCATCGTGGTGAAGATCTCCCAGGCGCGGGACTCCACGCGGGTCGCGGCCATCGCCCGCGCAGACCGCTCGGCGGAGGACGGCGGCTCGAGGTCGAAGGGCAGCGAGCGAGGGGCGGGGCCCCGGTCGGGGAGGGGCGGGGCTCCTGTGCGGCCCCGCCTATAACCCGACCTGGGGGGCGGGGACGTGTCATGTGGAGCATGCGCACTCGGCCAAGCGGGCAGCTGGAGGCGCAGATGCCGGCGTCCTGCCCGTGGGTTTAGGAGGGTGACCGAGCTGCTGTGTCTTCTGCCACCTCATTAATCCGGGTATATTTACTAATAAGGACGAAGTGATACTTCAAAGAGCACAGGGATGCCTTCGGGATTAAGGTGGCGGAGGTGTGGCTGCCTCGAGCGTGGCTGTCATGAATGCATGAAGTGTAGCAGTTTGAGGGTTAGCTTTGATTGGTTGGGGGGAAAGGCGTGTCCTAAGTGTTGGGAGTTGATTGGTTGGAGCCGGCTGAGGCGCCAGCGGTGAGAGAAGCCGGAAGTACGGGCTACTCTGCGTCCTTGGTTACACTGTGGGCGGAAGCGCGCTTCCGCGTGCACAGGGGCCTGGGGAACCGAGAGGGCGGCTATCCTGCCGATGTCGGTGTCCGGCGGCCTTGACCACGGCGGCTGGCCGGGCAGGGGAGCTGGCTTGAGGGCTCCACCAGCGGGCTCCAGAGTTCGGGTCCCGGGGAGAGTTCTCGTCGCCGAGCTCGCTGAGGAGGCGCCTTGGGTCTGTTCTCTAGGGCCATGAGGGACTCGAAGCTGCTGGCGCCGGAGCTCAGCGAGGCGGAGGCCATGGGGGCCGAGGCGGCGCGCTTCGAGGAGCTGCTGCTGCAGGTGCGGACGGCTGGCCCACGACTGCGACTGCAGATCCCAGCATGCAGCAGGGCGCCACGGGGCTCGTGGGAGTTGTAGTCGTTCTGGCTCAAAGTTTGTTTTCTTGCCATGGAAGAAGTGGAAGTACAGTTGGGAAGCGGGGGAGGTTCCTTGGGGCTTCAAGCAGACCACCCCACCAAGGCTGCAGGATGTTTTCTGTCACAGGCCTCTAAGGAGCTCCAGCAAGCCCAGACTCCCAGGGCAGAATCTACACAGATCCAGCCTCAGCCGGGTGAGAGAGACAGGCACCTGTGGGTGGGGGGAATAGAGAATCAGAGACAGAGAGCAGGAGCTGTGGCCCTCACACGGAGGTCACTGAGGGATCCTGACACCGGGCTGTTGCTTGGGGGCAGTGACTGAGTCCCAGGGGTTTGGGGGTGCAGAGGCGAGAACAGCAGGAGAGGCAGAGTGAGAGACAGAGAGACGATGGAGACGGGACAGTGGATGGGATGGACGCGGGAGACCTGGGCAGGACACACTGGCCCCGTTCCCCCTCGCCCAGGCTTCTGCATCAAGACCCACTCGGCCGAGGGGAAGGTCTTCATCAACATCTGTCACTCCCCGTCCATCCCCGCCCCGGTGGACATGACGGAGGACGAGCTGCTGCAGATCCTGGAGGAGGACCAGGCTGGGTTCCGCATCCCCATGAGCCTGGGGGAGCCTCATGCCGAGCTGGACGCAAGTCAGTGCCACACCAGCCCCCTTCTCCACGCCCGGGCACCTGCCTCCTCCCTGCCCTCCAGGCTTTCCTGCCACCATCTCTCTCGGGCCTCCTCTTCCCTCCCTGCCCGTTTCCGTTCCCTTGTGTCTCTGGCCCTGCCCGGTGCCCATCTGTGGCACCTGCTGCCCACAGTGGACACGTCACTCCTGCTCTCCCCGCAGAAGGCCAGGGCTGCACCGCCTACGACGTAGCTGTTAACAGCGACTTCTACCGGAGGATGCAGGTGGGCCGGGGCTCTGGGGCCGTGGGCGGACGCCCGGGGCTCTCCCCGACCCCGCAGCATCGCCGCCACGGTGCCCCTCTCACCCCAGAACAGCGATTTCTTACGGGAGCTCGTGGTCACCATCGCCAGGGAGGGCCTGGAGGACAAATACGGCTTGCAGCTGAATCCGGGTGAGGGCCGCCCGGGCAGTGGACAGGGGTGGCCGGTGGGGGCGTGTCTGACCCGGGGCCACCCGAGGGGCGGAGTCAACGTCGCCAGGAGTGGGCGTGATTGGCCTAGGGTTGGGGTGGGTGGGGCTTCCCAGAGCCCCGCTGCGCGGGGGTGTGGCCCGGGAGAGCGCGGAGTCAGCATCCTCCAGGAAATGGTGTGATTGGTCTAGGGTTGGGGTGGGTGGGGCCGCTGAGATCCCAGCTAGGCGGGGTGTGGCCGGTGTGATGACCAGGGAGGGGCGTGATTGGCCAAGGCTGGGGTGGGTGGGGCTTCTGGCTGAGCAGAGTGGAGGGAGAGGGCGGAGCCTGACCTGGGAGACTTGGCTGGGTGAGCCCTGGGGCGCCCAGGGAACCTGACCCTAGTGTCCTGCCCTCAGAATGGCGCCTGCTGAAGAACCGCACCTTCCTGGGCTCCATCTCGCAGCAGAACATCCGCTCCCAGAGGCGGCCCAAGATCCAGGAGCTGGGGGACCTGTGCACGGCAGCCTCCCCTGGAACCGAGGCTGGGTGGGCCTGCAGTGGGTTCCCCGAGCGTCCTCCCTCCCCAGGCTCCCTGGGATCTTTGCCTCTGGGTCCGTGTGCCGGGTACCCAGCACGGCTGGGCTGGTGAAGGCCTGGCAGCCGCCCTCACTCCTGGACCGTGTCCCTCCCTCCGCAGCCCCGAGAAGCCCCACCTGAACCTTTGGCTGGAAGCCCCTGACCTCCTCTTGGCCGAAATCGACCTCCCCAAGCTGGTGAGAGTGCTCAGCCTCTGGAGCAGGGCGTGAGGTCCAGGCATGCCAGTCCCTCTGCCAAGGGCCCCCTCTGTCCGAGAATGCCCCGGGACCAAAGGTGCCAGGTTGCCAAGACTCGTGGCTGCAGTGCCCTGCCTGCACCCTCAGTGGAGGAGCACCCCCCTCCCCATTTTGCTTTTATAGGAGCCAGCGTTGTGGCATAACAGGTTAAGCCACAGCCTATAGCGCTGGCATCCCGTATGGGTGTTGGTTCAAGTTCCTGCAATTGCACTTCCAATCCAGCTCGCTTCTAAGGCTCATGGGAAAGCAGTGGAGGATGGCTTCAGTCCAAAATCTTAAAAATATATTTGTTTGAAAGAGTTAGAGGACAGAGAAAGTGTTGTATCTGCTGATCCACTCCCCAGATGGCAGTGGCGCCCAGAGCTTGGCTGAGCATCCCGCCAGGGACTCCCACATGGGTGTAGGGGTTCAGAGGTTTGGGGTGTCCTCTGCTGCTTTCCCAGGCCCGTGAGCAGGAAGCTAGGTGAGAAGTGGAGCATCCAGGACACGAAGCAGCACCTGCCGGCACTGCAGGCGGTATCTTTACATGTTACACCACAGCACCAGCTGTCCCCTGGGATAGGGGGCAGTTTCCAACACCTGAGACTGTTGTGCTACCCCGTGTTAGGGGGCAGGAGGCACTCATCCCCTCTGGTCCCCAGGATGGAGCGCGGGAGCTGTCGCTGGAGATCGGGGAGAACCGCCTGGTGGTGGGGGGCCCCCAGCGGCTGTACCACCTGGATATCTGCGTGCCCTTGCGGGTCAAGGCCGAGGAGAGCCGGGCGGCCTTCCACCGCAAGAGAAAGGTGCGGGTGTGGGGAGCTGGGGTGGCGGAGGGAGCAGGGCCGAGCCGACCTCAGGGGTCGCATCCTCATCTTCCTGGCCTTCCTCCCTCCCTCTCCAGCAACTGATGGTATTCATGCCGCTCCTGTCGCTGCCTTCCTGACCTGTGGGCGTGGGAAGCGCCGTGGCCCCGGCCAAGCTGAAATAAAAGATATTTGACTGCACTTTGTTTCTGGCTAGGAGCGCTCGGGGGTGGGGGTCAGCGGAAGAGGGACGCTGAGCTGGGGTCTCCTGGAAGTCCCTGCCCTGCGTGGGCCTGGCCCTCTGTCCAGTCCCAGTCTCGGCCCTCGTGAACCCGCCCCCGGCCCCAGGATTGACCTTGGTGTTCCATGCATCGCCTGGGAGAAGGTGCAGGCCCCCACCCCACCCCAGCCTAGGCCTTGGGGCTCTGCGTGCCCTGGCCCCTTCAGGGATGCTTTATTTTCACTGCAAGGTGGATTTACAGAGGGAAGGAGACACAGGGAGAAAGATCTGAGGTTCATTCTCCAAGTGGCCACAATGGCTGGAGCTGAGCTGATCCGGAGCCAGGAGCTGCTTCTGGGTCTCCCATGTGGGTGCAGGGGCTTAAGCACTTGGGGCCGTCCTCTGCTGCATTTCCTGGCTATCAGCATAGACCTCGATAGAAAGTGGAGCAGCCAGGACTCGAACTGGGGCTCATATAGAATGTGCATGGCACAGGCTGAGGTTTAGCTTGCTATACCCCACTTCCAGCCCCAGGGCCTCTTTTCTCACTGTGCCAGGTGACACTGAACAGGGCTCTGACTGCTTTACCACTCGGTCGTCCTGCCCTCAGCGCTGGCTCGTCCATCTCTGGTGCATGCACACCGGGCAGACTGACAGAGAGATCTTCCATCTGCGGGTTCACTCCCCAAGTGGCCAGAAAGGCCAGAGCTGAGCTTATCAGAAGTCAAGAGCTTCTTCTAGGTCTCCCACGTGGGTGCAGGGACCAACCTCTGCTGCTTTCCCAGGCCACAAACAGGGAACTGGGTGGGACATGAACTGGTGCCCATATGGGATGCCAGCATTTGCAAGGGGAGGATTTAGCCCCTGAGCCATTGCAGCATGCCCAACTGCAGGCATTTTCGTGTGGGATATGTGCTGCTGTTGCCCTTCCTGGGGCCATCTTGGTGTCTCCCGCTCCTCATCCAGACAGCTCCAGGTTCCTGGACTCACACCCATCCAGCCCATTGTGTCACACCAGGGCCTCCCTGCTGCCTACCTCCTGTCTTGGCCAATCTGGCTTCCTCTGCCGGGGATGCCACTCCTTGCCTCTGGCAGAACTTGCCCTGGGAAACTTTCTAGTTTAAATGGATATACTTAAAAATGTATATATATATATTTATAAATGTCTTTATTTAGGGTCGGCATGATGGCTCAGTTGGCTAATCCTCCCCCTGTAAACTCCAGCATCCTATATGAATGCTGGTTCAAGTCCTGGCTGTTCCAATCTAGCTCCCTGCTAATATGCCCGGGAAAGTAGAGGAAGTTGACCCTAGTGCTTGGGTACCTGCGTCCTTGCCGGAGACCTAGAAGAAGCTCCTGGCTCCTGGCTATGGTGGCTATTTGGGGAGTGGTTCAGCTGCTGAGATATTTTTCTCATTCTCTTTGTTTCTTTGTGAAATTCTGCCTTTCAAGTAAATGAATAAATTATATATATATATATGAAAACGGCAGGCAGAGTTGCAGGGACAAAGCATCTCTCACACTCTAAGTGGCCACAAGGGGCAGACAGGCCAGAGCCAGGAACTCGCACGTGCTTTCCTGGGCAGCAGGGAGCTGGATGGGACGAAAGTGGCTGGTCCCCAACTACACTTCGCACTTTCTCTGGTCCCTAGATGGGATACTGGGAGGATAACCTGACCATTGCAGGGAGGAGACCAGCGTGGCGGCCAGGAGGAAGCGGCCTGCAGGGTGCAGGGTGGTTCTGTCCGTTGGTCGTGGGCGCAGTGGCCGGTGGCTGCTGCGCCTGGACCTTCCGTAGGAGGCCAAGGAATTGGCTCCCGCGTCTTGAGAAAGTGTGGGCCGAGGCCCTTCCTGGCTCCTCGGTCTCCATGGTGATGGTTCCGGCGGAGGCCTGGGATTTGGCAGCGGCAGAGGGGCCCCCTTCCCACTCCCTCCCCTGCACCATCTGCTCCACCCTCACACCTGGCCCGGAGCCGGCGGCCTCCTCCGCAGCTCGTGCGCCCGGCGAGGCTGCGGCCACGCGGTGGCGCGTGCGGACCTGGAGCTCCCGGCTCGGCCCGTCCTCGGGGGTCGGGAGGCGGGTGCTGGGGTGTGAGGCTCAGAGCCCCGGCTTCCCGGCGCCTCTCGCCGCCTGCCTCGGGAGACGCATCATGAAAATTTAATCCGCAATGCATTTGCGGCGCGAGGCGCAGGCGAAGGCACACCCTCCCGAGAGCGCCTGGGGAAAGGGCCGGAGTGCCGGGGTTGCACCCCGGGCTGAGCTGGGGCTGGACCCCCCTGGGGGAGTGCAGGAGTGCAGGAGCGGGTGCAGGCTGGGAGGGTCGCTAGACTGGGCATGGGCGCAGAATGAAAGGGACTGGGAGGAAGGGCGAGAGTGGGGGCTGCGCCCCGGGGGCAGCTTTGGGGTCCTTATAGGAGACACCGAACCCAGGGCGAAGGAAGTAGTCTGGCAGGGCGTGCGGGGGACAAGCAGAGGGGACGAAGGGAGATCGAAGTAGGGGCTCGCGATCGGTGTCCCAAGAAGGGAAGTCAGATCCGGCTGGGGGCGCGGTTCGGGGCGGGACCGGGGGTCAGGTGTCCAGCAGATGAACGTGCGGGATGTGGGGCCGTGGTGTGACACACCCGGGCAGGATCTGGGTGTGACAGGGCCAAGTTGCAGGTTCAGGGAGACGGACGCGGGAGACGGAGGACCCGGGCGCGGGAAGCCGGGGAGCGTGGGGGACAGGCCGGCGTCGGAGCCCTGCGGCCTGGGCTGGACGGCGGAGGCCGCGAGGGGCGGGGTCAGGTGGCCAGGGGCGGAGCCATGGATGTAGGGCGGGACCAGATAGCCGAGGCGGAGTCATGGATGTAGGGCGGGACCAGATAGCCGAGGCGGAGTCACGGGTGTAGGGGCGGAGCCATGGGCGCAGGGGCGGGGCCAGATGGCCGGGGCCGGAGCATGGGTGTAGGGCGGGACCAGGCACTCATGGGCGGGGTCAGGCACCTGGGGCGGAGCCCAGCACTCGGGGGGGCGGGGCCAGGCACCCAGGTGCGAGGCGGGGTCAGACAACCAGGGGCGGTGCTAGACACCCGGGGGCGGAGCCAGACGCCCAGGGGGCGGGGTCAGGCACCGGGGGCGGGGCCAAGCACTCACGGGCGGGGTTAGGCACCACGGGGCGGGGCCAGGCACTCAAGCCCCGCCCCCGGCGCTGAGTCCCGCGGCGGCCCCGGGGCGCCCGCACTCGCAGCCTCGTTCCCCGCCGAGCGGAGCTGCGGGGCCGGCCGGGCCGGGGCGGACCCCGGGAACCCGGACGCGGCCGCCCGGGCCCGCGGGCGGGGGGCTCGGCGGCGGCCCCGGCGGCAGCAGCCAGCATGGAGTTCCGCCAGGAGGAGTTTCGGAAGCTGGCGGGTCGCGCCCTCGGGAAGCTGCACCGGTGAGCGGCCGGGGGTCCGGGGAGAGGCGGCGGGGGACGCGGAGCGGCAGGGGGACAGGGCGGACACTGTCGGTGGGGCATTGTCCGATATCAGTCATTTTCCTGCCCCTTCTCCGCCCAATGCTCTACCCCTTTTTCTGGTATGGTCTCTGTCCCCTCTCTCCCTCTGGGTCTCTGTCCCCTCTCTCTCTGCATCTCTGTTCCTCTCTCTCTGCATCTCTGTCCCCCACACCGGGTCTCTCCCTCTCTCTCTCTCTTTGGGTCTCTGTTCTCTCTCTCTCTCTGGATCTCTGTCCTCTCTCTTTCTCTCTTTCTAGGTCTCTGTCCTCCCCACTGGGTCTCTCTCTCTCTTTCTGGGTCTCTCTCTGTCTCTGTCTCTCTCTGGGTCTCTTTCCCACCCCCGCCCACACTGGTCTCTGTCCCCTCTCTTTGGGATTTTCCTCCCCCACCTGGGTCTCTCGCCATCTTTTCAGTGTCTGCCTGTCTGGTAGTTTAATCTGAGGCTAAAGCGGATTGGGGCCCGTAGGTTCTTGCCCTTGACAGGGGTTAAGCGGGGAGGGGGAAGCCGGGGTGTCCTGGGTCCCTGGGGTGGGGGAAGTGTCCTCCAGCCCCCAGCCTCTCTCCCAATTCAATTCCTGGGGTGGGAGAGACTTGGGGAGGGGTCTCAGCTGCAGCAGAGAGGGCCTTCCTGCCAGCCCGTGACCGGGGTGTCCCTCGGAGTACACTGGACAGCGCCTCTCCTACTCAGCCCGGATCCCATCTCTGGCTCCGAGTCAGAGAAATTACTCAACTGCGGAGAAGCCTAAAAATACCTGGCCACAGCGCGGGCGGGGCGGCCTCGCGGGCACCAGGGCCGGCTCCCAGACCCCCAGCCCCACCTTGGCTGGCCTTCTTTGCCCCATGTGGCTTCCTGTCCTCTTCTAAGCCTTGCGTTGGTCCTGCACGCTGCTGTCACCTCCTAGCTCCCAAATCACCCCACCCTCTAGTAACGTGAGAGACAGGGCTAAGTGGTGGGAGTTGGGGGGGGCAGGAAGATGGTGCAGTGATGTGGGGATGGAGAGGGAGCTGAGATAACCTCACCCTTCTCCCCATTCCCCAGCCCCACCCTTTTTCTCACCTCCTTTCACGAGTTTCTCAAAATACATCGGTGCAAAGTCAGGAGAGGGAGAGAGACGTGCAGAGCGCTAACGGAGCGACTGGGGGGATGCTTCCCGCCCCTCCCTCAGGGCCTGCTTCTCTGTGGCATCTGGGGCTCTCTCTTGGCCCCTCTCTGCCTCACCTTGCCTTCCAGGACACCTCCTGGGCCCTGGAGACCTGAGTGCTGGGAGCCCTGGCTAGGGTCGCACACACCCAGCACCTCCTTGGATGCTGATGCTGTGCATGGACAAGGCTGGGGCAGCTGAGCGGAGGAGGACAGGGCTCGGGCCCTGCTGCTCTTCTTGTGCAAGGTGTCGCCTCTGCCTTTTGTGCCTCAGTCTCCCTCATGGCAGGATGGGAAAACATCGGAACACAGGGCCTGAGGGAAGCAGAGAGGAGGGAGACCCCGTGTTCACTGGGGGTGACTGCCTCCTATGTGCTGACCAAGCCCCCACCCCCCACACATGCCCGGGCTCACAGCACCCCGGGGGCTCTCCGTCCAGTCTGTGCTGGCCCTGGTCCTGGGCAATGCGTCAGGACTATCATCGTCTCCATCTCTCACCCGTTCCCCCTAACATGCTCACTGTCGATGTGAAGTTCCCCATGGCGTCTCCCATTCCTCCTCGTGTCCCCCCCCCCCAGGGGTAGATGTGGGCTCCCAGGGCATCTCGGATATAAACCATGAGTGTCAGATTTCAGGGGCTGCAGTCGCAGCCTGAACTTCAGGGTCACGTATCATCTGACATCAACCCAGGATAACGTCTAGTCTTATTGGCTGGCATGTTCTGATGGGGGGTTCCCTGCCATTCTGCATTGTTTTGGGGGCTCCCATCACCCCCTCTCTGGCTGTATCTCCCCCTCTCTCAGGGGGAGAGCCTCCTTGTCTGTCACGATTTGGTCCAGTCCGCGCGTGCACACTTCTACACCCTTCTGCTCCTTTGCTCCCCTCCCCACCTCCTTAAGTTCTCCGATGGGGAGGGGCGGCTGTGTTCTCTCATCTCTTCCACCTCCCTCTCCCTACACCGTCTGGCTGTTCGTTCCTCCCCCGTCCCGGTCTCCCTCGCCTCCATCTGTTGCAGCCCCTTCCTGGGATCCAGCCTGATCCGGGGCTGCCTACCCGCCCCGGGAGAGGAGCCGCTCTTCGGCAGGCTGGGGCTGTGTGTTCTGGCTCTCTGCTCTCCTCCCTGGCCCCTGCCTGGGTCCCTGTCTCTCCCTCTCTCCTTCCTAGGGGGCTCTGACCTTCTCTCTGTGTGCCCCCCTCTCCACGTGGGTCTCCCCACCTGTTCAAGACTACACTCTCCCTGCAGTGTCTCTGCGGGCTTGAGACAGCCACTCCGAGTACCCTGCCCATCACGGCAGACTCAGTCCTGAATCCAGAACAGGCGGGGGCGAGAGCCACGCTGGGGAATGAGCCAGTCCCCCTACCAGGGCCATCTGTCCCCTGCCAGGACACCACCCGCCACCCCCTCCCTACCCCTCCGGCCAACAGCCAGAATTCAAGTTTCCCCAGGGGTGCTGCGACCGTGACGTCCTGTCTCTCCAACCCCCGTGTTCCTGAGAAGGGTTGTGGTGGCTGTGCAGGAGTCAGCTGGATACGCACCCCCTACTCGGGGCCTGGCAGCAGGGCAGGGCCGGCCCCAGGGCTGGGGGAGGGGTGTGGAGAAGCAGCTGTTCCTGCGACACCTTTGCTGAGGCATCTTCTTAGCACCTTGTGATTCCTCAAATAGATCTGGCAAGAGGGGCTGGGGAGGCTTTGGGGTTTGGGGTGGGGGTTGGATGCCTCAGCTCTTGGATTGCCGAAAGGTAGTCTGGGTCCCAGGAAGCAGGCTGGAGGCGGTGGGGGTGGAAGCTGAATGCCTGGACCCCTGGGTCTCGGGGAGTAGGGGTGGACTTGGCATTTGCAGTGGTGACCATCAGGAGGCTTTGCCCTGAAATCCCAGTGTCCGGGGGAACGGGGTGTGGAGGACCTACAGTTTTAACCCCTAAAACTCGCTGCCCCTCAGCCTTCTGGAGAAGCGGCAGGAAGGCGCCGAGACTCTGGAGCTGAGCGCCGATGGGCGCCCGGTGACCACGCAAACCCGCGACCCACCCGTCGTGGACTGCACGTGCTTCGGCCTCCCTCGCCGCTACATCATCGCCATCATGAGCGGGCTGGGCTTCTGCATCAGCTTTGGCATCCGCTGCAACCTGGGCGTGGCCATCGTGTCCATGGTCAACAACAGCACGACCCACCGCGGGGGCCACGTGGTGGTGCAGGTAGCTCAGCTTCGCTCTGCTGGGCTCTCACCAGGCCACGCCCTCGGACCCCTGCAGCAGATCGCCCCGCCCACCGAGGGCGTTCCCTTCCAAAGCCCCGCCCCTTCCCGAGAAGCCCCGCCCTACTCCAGGTTCCGGGTTGCACAACATAGATTCTGCCCCAGCACTGGGCTCCCTTTTTGGACCCGCTCTCCTGCGCCTCTCGCTTGTGTCCCCTAAGTTACAGCTGCGTCACCCCGGTTCTACCTCGGACTTTTAGCTTTATTTTTGAAAATTATTTATTTTTATTAAAAAGGCAGATTTACAGAGAGGAGAGACAAAGATTCTACAACCATTGGTTCATTACCCAAATGGCTACAACAGCTAGATCTGAGTGGATCCCAGCTAGGAGCCAGGAGCTTCTTCCGGGTCTTCCACACAGGTGCAGGGACCCAAGACCCTGGGCCATCCTTTAATGCTTTCCCAGGCCACAAACGTGGAGCCTGATGGGAAGTGGGACTGCTGGGATGCGACACTGGCACCCTTACGGGATCCCGGTGCGTGTAAGGCGAGGACTTAGCCACTAGGCTACAGTAATGACATTTCTTTTTCATTTAAATACTATACAGGACCTGTCCTGGCCTCCAAAAAAAAAAAAAAAAAATCCTGATTTTGAAGCCCTGCCTACTCCCTTCCAATCAACCCTCCCTCTTGGTCACACCTTGTCCATGCCTTGACCAGGTCTAGGCCAGGCTGCAATGTATACGTGGGAAGAAGTGGAGAAAGCAAGCAACCCCACAGGCAGGTCCCTCGACCCTCAAGAAAGGGGTGCTGGGACAAGGAAGCAGACCCAAGGCAGCCCCAGTCCCATGGTGAAGGTGGTTTGGTCCCTGGCAATCTGCAGAGGCAGGGTGTGGCCCCTGATTGGCCTGGGGTGCTGCCCACTCTGACCCACAGGTGTTTTGGGGGTGGGAGGGGCTGCAGGTGTTGATTGGTGAGAGCAGAGCGCGGGGCCAGGGCGGTGGATTTGATGCGCCTTTTTGGCCTGCAGAAAGCCCAGTTCAGCTGGGATCCAGAGACCGTGGGCCTCATCCACGGGTCCTTCTTCTGGGGCTACATTGTTACTCAGATTCCTGGTGGATTCATCTGCCAAAAATTTGCAGCCAATAGGTAAGGTGGCGGGCCTCTGTGGGTGGGCGTGCTTCAGGCATGGGGCCACGGATGGACTGGGCAGGGTCAGGGTTTGAAGGGTCCCTGGCCCAGCCTGCTGCGGGACCCTCTTGGCTCCCCTTCCCCATCTTTCCCACCAGGGTTTTTGGCTTTGCCATTGTGGCCACTTCAACTCTCAACATGCTGATCCCCTCGGCGGCTCGCGTCCACTACGGCTGCGTCATCTTTGTGAGGATCTTGCAGGGTTTAGTGGAGGTAAAGCCCCCTGCCATGCCACGCCATGCCACGCCACGCACGCCACGCCAGCACAGCCTCTGTTCTGATCCCGTCCTAGTCATTAATTTTGGGATTTTTTTCCCTCACTTCCCAGGGAGTCACCTACCCTGCCTGCCACGGGATCTGGAGCAAATGGGCGCCCCCCTTGGAGCGTAGTCGCCTGGCGACCACCGCCTTTTGCGGTAGAGGAAGGGGTTGGGGGAACCTGGGCGTGCACCCTTGGGTGTGGACTGGGAGACACGGGGGGTGATCTCTCTCCTCAGGCTCCTATGCCGGTGCGGTGGTCGCCATGCCCCTCGCCGGGGTCCTGGTGCAGTACTCAGGGTGGAGCTCAGTATTCTATGTCTACGGTGAGGGACCTGTGCGCCCAGGGCGGGGAGGGCAGCGGCATGGGCACTGGGAAGCAGCAGGGCTGGTGGTCACCCCGCTCCCAACTCCTCCTTCCCCTGCCCCCCAGGCAGCTTCGGGATCTGCTGGTACCTGTTCTGGCTGCTGGTCTCCTATGAGTCCCCCGCGCTGCACCCCAGCATCTCGGAGGAGGAGCGCAAATACATTGAGGATGCCATCGGCGAGAGTGCCAAGCTCATGAACCCGGTCACGGTCAGGGCGCGCGGGCGGGGCAGGGCGGGAGGGCTCAGCCCGCAGGAGCCCAGGCAGTGTAGGGGTGCTTCCTGCAGATGCTCAGGGGAGCCGGGGCTGGAATCCACGGAGGAGGAGGTGCTGGGGGACAGGTCGCCAGATGGACAGATTTGGAAACCAAAGAGGCGTGGTTAAAAGGCGTCACAGCGGGGGTTAGCTGGCAGGGGCTTTGGGGTGGTATAAATGGGCATGAAGAAACCTTGGAGGTCAATTTAGGGGACCCGGGAATCATCGTGGAACGTGGATGCCTGCCGGGCCACTGCTGCAACAGGGACCCCATTCATTTCTGAAGGGAAACAGGGACCCCTGAATTCCCACGGTTGACCTGCTGTGGCTGGGGAGGTTGGAACCCAGTGAGGTCCCTGGGAAGCCTGAGCTCCGCCTCACCGGCCCCTGCCCTTGTGCCCTGTGCAGAAGTTTAACACGCCCTGGCGGCGTTTCTTCACCTCCATGCCCGTGTACGCCATCATCGTGGCCAACTTCTGCCGCAGCTGGACCTTCTACCTGCTGCTCATCTCGCAGCCTGCGTACTTTGAAGAAGTGTTTGGCTTTGAGATCAGCAAGGTGGGACCTAGGAGGAGGGGATGGGGAGGGGCCCTGGGTCCCCCGCATTCCCCTCACCTGCCCAGCCAGTGGGGCCCGACCCCCAGCCCGCCTTCCACCTGCTGCACAGGTGGGCCTGGTGTCGGCGCTGCCCCACCTGGTCATGACCATCATCGTGCCCATCGGCGGCCAGATCGCTGACTTCCTGCGGAGCCGCCGCATCATGTCCACCACCAACGTGCGCAAGTTGATGAACTGCGGGGGTGAGTGCGGGCCTGGGACCAAGCGGGTTTCAGCACGGGAGGACGAGCTGCCCCGGCGGCAGGTGCCGGGGGCGTGGGCCACGGGGCGGCCAGGGGGCGCAGGGCAGGCGGGGTCACCTCGAACCGACCAAGACCAGACTCGAACCGGGGGAGAGCTGGGCGCCGGGACCGATGGGATGAGGCGTGGCCTAATTAGGGGGCGGGACCACGAGGTGGGCCGGGGTCATGCTGGTGGGGCGGAGCATAGCCCAGGGCGGGACCACGCAGGGAGGGGCTGGCCAAGCCACACGGAATGAGGCGTGGCCACACGCGCGGGGCGGAGCCTAGCCCTGGGCGGAGCCACTCTGGTGGGGCGGAGCATAGTCCGGAGCGTGGTCGCACCGAGGGGGGGGAGGAACCACCTGTGTGGGGCGGGGTCTAGTCTGGAGCAGGAACAGGTGGGCGGGGCGGGGCCACATGGAGTGGGCGTGGCCGCAATGTGGGGCTGGGGCCTGGACTGGGTGTGTTGGCACGTGAGGGGCGGGGGTCTATGTAGCGATTGGCGTGGACACACGCGGGGCGGGGCCTGGCAGTGGGGCGGGACCTAGCCTGGGCGTGGGGCATGCCTACACGTGGGGGCGGAGCCTGGCTTGGGCGTGGGGCGTGCCCACACGTGGGGGCGGAGCCTGGCTTGGGCGTGGGGCGTGCCCACACGTGGGGGCGGAGCCTGGCTTGGGCGTGGGGCGTGCCCACACGTGGGGTCTGGCCGGGCTGCCCGGGGTCGCCCTCTGCCCTCCGTCCTCCGGCTGAGGTGAAGGCCGGTTCAGGGCTGAGGCGGCGTCCCGGGCCCGCGGCCTGCACGGAGGCGCCAGACCCCGGGGCGGCCGCTCGCAGCGCGGCTCAGGAGCCCCGGCACCCGCAGGCTTCGGCATGGAGGCCACGCTGCTGCTGGTGGTCGGCTACTCGCACTCCAAGGGTGTGGCCATCTCCTTCCTGGTCCTGGCCGTGGGCTTCAGCGGCTTCGCCATCTCTGGTGAGCGCCGAGGGGGCGCGCGGCCCGTCCCCGGGGGGCGTCCGGCCGGCCAGCGGCCAGCAGCGGGTGCGACACCCATCCGCCCGCCTCCCCGCCAGGGTTCAACGTGAACCACCTGGACATCGCGCCGCGCTACGCCAGCATCCTCATGGGCATCTCCAACGGCGTGGGCACGCTGTCCGGCATGGTGTGTCCCATCATCGTGGGCGCCATGACCAAGCACAAGGTGGGTGGCGACGGCTCGTGGGGCGCCCTCCCTGCCCCCGCACCCTCTCCTCCCCGCTCTGACTCGGGGTCCCCCCAACCCCACTCCACAGACTCGCGAGGAGTGGCAGTACGTGTTCCTCATCGCCTCCCTGGTGCACTATGGGGGTGTCATCTTCTACGGGGTCTTTGCTTCCGGGGAGAAGCAGCCGTGGGCCGAGCCTGAGGAGCTGAGCGAGGAGAAATGTGGCTTCGTGAGCCACGACCAGCTGGCCGGCAGCGACGACAGCGACGTGGAGGACGAGGCCGAGCCGCCGGGGGCGCCCCCCGCGCCCCCTCCGTCCTATGGGGCCACGCACAGCACCGTGCAGCCCCCGCGGCCGCCGCCCCCGCACCGGGACTACTGACCACGTGCCTCTCACCCGGCGGCAGTTTCCGGGGTCCCCCGACCCCGAGCCACCGTGGCAGGGCACCCCATTCTCCCTGGGATGCCTGCCCTTGTGTCCGTGCTGTGACCCCCCTCGTCCCTTAACTGCCTCTTGGGGTGCCGGAGCTGCAGCTTCCAGGAGGCCCCGTGTTCCCCATGAGCCCCCCTCTGCCTCAGTGGTTCCATGTCTCCGTTCAGGGCGTTCACTCCCCAAATCCTTCCCTGCAGTTTGGGGGGCTCTTTTTCCCTTTGCCCTTCACCCCTAAGGACGCTCAGGCTCCCCACTTCCTACAGACCAGTGCTCCCCTTCTAGAACTTTCCCACATTGTGCAACGCCCGGGCTGAGTTCTTCAGGCGCCCCAGCCCACTGTGCCCAGGGTAGGGTCTCACCAGCGTTCCCAAGGGGAAATGGCGGTCTCAAGCCCACCCCTGTCCCCACCCCTCTTCCAACCAGCAGGTTCTGCTGAGGCACCAAATCTCCAGTTCACCCCTTTCCAGCTCCCCAGCTTCCCCCAGGGGCAGGGGAGTAACCAAAATGACAGTTTGGACAAGCTGCCTTGGCACCCCCATGCACTTTCTCTGACACGGTTTTTTGGGTGGCTGGCTAGCTCCCTGCTTTGGAGCGCCGCCCTTGACCTCTCCCTCCTGCCGGGGTGGGCTCCAGCTGCTCCCCCTCCCCCAGTTCCTTTGCACTTTATTCTTCTGAGTGGCTCAGCCCACCTTGTTTCTCAGTGGCCATTTGATGTGTCCCCGTCAAGGGGCTTAAGTCTGGGATTCATCCCCTCCCCACCCCTAGACTCCCCCACCCCCATCCCGGTTGAGCTTAGAATGTGGGGGGACAGACGTGGAAGTCACAAAGTCCCAGGGAAGCGAATGGGGCTGGGTGTGTCTCCTGGGGCAGGGCAGCGTGCATTGTGAGTCTGTGTGTGACTGTGAAAATCCCGCCCTGCCCCCCGACCCAATAAAATGCTCTGGTGACAGACACAGCCTTTATCGTGAGGGGCTCTGGGGCATCTCCGTCCCCCACCCCTGCCTCCCACCCTTCCCGAAGCACCAGCTGGTGCTGCCTCTCCTGCCCCAGGACCCAGCAGGTGCAGGTGGAAACACACCATTTATTGGACCTCATCCGTGTCTCTCCACACAGCAAAGCATCTCTGTTGGACGCTCGCTCAGAGCGGACCACTACATAGCCAAGCGTGCCAGGGAAGGCGAGACCCCAGGCCTGCCCTCCCTCTGGGGGTGCCTGTGGAATGAAGTTTACATGAAGTTGTTGGGCAGCGAGGCGGGGGACAGGGCCTCGAGGCGCTGCGGGCGGTCCCCGCGCGGCGGCGGGGGAAGCTTGGGTGGCAGCGGCGGTGTGGGCGGCTGCAGTTTGGTGGCGATGTGCGAAGGGACCCAGGCATCCGGGGCGTAAAAGTACAGGTCGTAGGGGTCTTTCGGGGTGTCCAGGTGCAAAACTGCGGAGGCAAGGGGGCGGAGTGGGGGCCGCTGCTCAGTGAGGGGGGCGGATCTCAAAATCCTGTCCCCGCCTTCCCACCCCGTATTTGAATCTGGATTTTAAGCAGCTCCGAGGGCTCCGGAATACACCGGGTTGCGGGGAGTCTGCGCAGCGGGGCGGGGCGTTCAGGGCTCCTGGCCAGGTCCCCGGAGCGGGTGCAGACCTCTAGCGCGGAGGGTCAGCGTGTGCTCTTCCGGCTAGGGGAACCAGGACTCGACGGGCGGGGCGGGGCGCTCACCAGGCTCATCTCCGCTGTCCGGGAGCCGGTGGTGTGCGAAGGGCCGGTGTCGAGCTGCCCGGCGGTACAGACACCACATCAGCAAGAAGATGCCAATCAATAGCCCGGTCCCCGCGAAGAACAGGCACAAGGCTCCACCTCCCGCACCGCGTGGGCGCCCCACCAGCGCCACACCTGATGGAGGAGAAGGCTCTCTAATCCCAGCCCCTCCCTCACACCCAGGGGTCCAGCCCCTCCTCCCTCACACCCAGGGGTCCAGCCCCTCCTCCCTCACACCCAGGGGTCCAGCCCAGACCCTCCTCCCTCACACCCAGGGGTCCAGCCCAGCCCCTCCTCCCTCACACCCAGGGGTCCAGCCCCTCCTCCCTCACACCCAGGGGTCCAGCCCCTCCTCCCTCACACCCAGGGGTCCAGCCCCTCCTCCCTCACACCCAGGGGTCCAGCCCCTCCTCCCTCACACCCTGGAGCCAGGTCCAGCTGTTCACCTGTCTCCTTTACTCGCTCCACCACAATGATGGTGTTGACACTCTCACCTCGGCTGCGCCTCTGGGGTGCCCTCAATGTGGCAGGTGCCAGCTGGCTGGCAGGTCCTGGAGGAGCAGGGGCGCCCACCATCTGGGCTGAGGAAGGAGGGGTGTCAGGCCCTTTAGAACCAGAATTTTGGGGAACCTTCAGCTCCACAGTCCCTGGAAAGTCTGAGGTGGATACTTCAGGGGGATCAGAGTGGGTGGTTGTAGGGGCTCCGTGTGTGGCGCTCAGGTGCAGCTCACCGAGGGTGGTGGTTTCATCCTTGAGGGGTGCAGGGGATTCTGGAGGAACAGTTGTGGGTTTTGGGGGGTTGGAGGTCACAGGGGTCTCTGTTGCATTTTGGCAGTGGGTTGTGGGGTGTTCTGTGGTGCTGGGGCTGTGGGTCACATGGGATTCAGGGTTGGGAGTCTCAGTGGGGTCAGAATGGGGGGTGTGGGAGGACTCCAAGGTTGGTGTCTCAGTGGTGTTAGGGTTGTGGGTTTCTGGAGAAGTGGTGTCAAGGGTCTTGGTTGGGTCAGGATTTGGGGTCTCTGAGATTTCTGTGGTGTTCATTTTGGGTATCTCTGGGGGTTCTCTGTGTGTAGTTTGGGTAAAGTTAGTTGGGGTGACAGAAAGTTCTAGGTGTGCCATCTCAGAGGTGTTAGGTTTGGGGATCTCAGAAGATCCTGAATATGGAATTTCAGTTGGCTTGGGGGTCTCAGAAGATTCTGGGTGTGTTGTTTCTGGGGTGCCTGGAGATTCCGATATGGAGGGTGTGAGCAGGTGGGCTGAGGGGGGTTCAGCAGAGCCTGAGTGCAGGGGTTCTCCGAGGACAGGCGCCCCGACGTGGCTCAGGGCAGGGCTCTCAGGGGACGCTGTGGGAGGCATTCCCGAGGGCTGGGAAACAACTGTCCCAGGCCCAGCTCTTGGGGCAGTTTCAGGAGCCAGAGAGGAGGCCTGGGAGGGGTGGTCTACCCCTGCAGAGTCGGTGCCAGAAGGCGGTGAGGCCGAGGCTGTGGGGGCAGCTTTGGCACCCGGCTGGGTGAGGACGAAGGCGAGGAGGAAGAGGGCAGAGCTGAATGACTTCATGGCTCTGGGAGCGGCCAGTAACTGCAGGGGAGTGGGGAGAAAAGAGTTAGAGCCCGAAGGGCAGGCCAGCTCAAAAGCTGGATGGCTAAATCCTCACCTAGCACACCCTGGGACCCCATGTGGGCACCAGTTCCTATCCCAGCTGCTCCACTTCCCATCCAGCTCCCTGCTTGTGGCCTGGGAAAGCAGTCGAGGACGGCCCAGAGCCTTGGTGCCCTCTACCTGAGTGGGAGAACTGGATGAAGCTCCTGGCTGTTGGTTTTGGATCAGCTCAGCTCTGGCTTGCTGCAGCCACTTGGAGAGTGGAGCAGCAAATGGAATATCTTTTTGTATCTCCTTCTCTCTATAAATCTGCCTTTCCAATAAAAAATAAATCTTTGAAAAAAAAACCCGAGGGCCCTGGAACCCCGCCCACACAAGAAGCCACGCCCACTGGTACCCTAAGTCCCAGAGGGCTGTGCAGCAGTGGCCAAGGTAGCCAAGGGAGACTGAGTTGCGGGGTGTCCTGGGAGTCGTAGTCGATTTCTGTAGCTATGTTCTTGCGGGGAGGGCCCAGAAAAAGTAGGAAGGAATGACACCTCTCTGAGCCCAAAGACCTCTTAAAGCTCCAATGGGCCAAGTGACACCTTGGCGCCACACTGTTGACGTTTGAGGGGGGCTCAGAAGGGAGGCTGCAGGACACAGGTCTCCCCAATCTCCATGCCTCCTCCAGAGGAGAAACCTGCGGGTCCTAGGAGTGGCCTGCTAGGTGTACAGGCTACTGGGCCCCAGAGGGCGAAGGGGCTGCAGGTGGGAAACTGGTGGTTCTGCAGACTCCTTAGGTGCCTACAATGTTGAGGTGGGAAGGCAGGGAGAGCCGCGGACCATGGAAGGGAGGATCTGGAGGCCTGGAATTCTGGGGTGGGGCCTTCTAAGGGAGCTGGGATTTCCCAACATAGGGGTCTGGGGGCCTGGATTTTCCAGCCTGAGGGGGTTCCCCTGTGACTTGGGTCTTGGGGTCACCTACCTGCTCCGTGGTGTCCGAGGGAACCGCAGCAGCGCTGAGCTGGACACAGAGAAAGGTGAACGATGCACAATGGCTCTGGGCAGGGCGGCAGGAGGCAGGGTCCCAGGGGCGCACAGGTGACGCACCTGACCCCCTCTCTGGGGATGCTGGGAGCCTAGCAACAGGATTAGGCTCTTAAAGGGACAAAGACCCGGTCTCTGGGGGTGGGGAAGGGAGTTGGGGACTGCATGAACTGTCTTCCCTGTGAAACCAGCTACCCCCTCCTACCCCCAAGTCCACGTCTTCCTACTTGGGAACGCCTCAGTCTGGGCCCCATCTTCCTGCCCCCAGGCCTAGGAGCCCAACTGCCGCCTCTCAGGTGGATTTCCAGATGGCGGCTGGCTCCTAGGAAGGCTCACTGTGTAGAGCCCCCTCCTCCCAGAAAGGCCTGAGATGTCCCACCCCCCTGTATGGGTAGGGTGTGGCACAGACACAGGGGTCTGCCCCCTCCCCGCACCTGCGCTGGCCCTTCCCTCAGGGCTTTGTCCCTGGGCAGCTCTGCCCTGCGCTGGCCTCGCTGTGTCTGAAAAGCTCAGCCCTTCGTGTCGGCCTGGCTCTGGCTGTCTCCTCTCTATCTTCTCTTTCCTTCTTTGTGGCTCTTCTCTCTCCACCTCCCCGGCCTTTCCTCTGCTGGTTATTTCTTCCTTGTGTCCCTCCTCCCCTTCTCTCCCTCTCTCTGTCTCTGTCTTCCGCTAGGACGGTCGCTATTTTTATCCTGCGGACACACCCCCCCATGGCCACTTCTCCCGCTGTCCATCTCTCAGCCGCCCTCTTCTCTTCAGGTCCAGGCTCAGGTCCCAATTAGTTGGTGGCGGCCACAGCAGCAGCAAGGCCCTCACCCCCGGTTCCTCATTACAGCTGTTGGCGCCTAATGAGCCCTGGGGGGCGGCTGACCCCGCACCCAGGCCCCGGGGCCTGCGTCACTACCCGCGGGGGCTGTGCAGGGGATATAAGGGGGCTGCCGGGAGCGCCGGCCCAGCCCACTGCAGCCCACTGCAGCCCACTGCGGTAGGGGCCCTGCGGGAGGCAGCAGGGGTGCAGGCCCACGGTGCTGGACCTTGGTGCAGACCTCACGAAACCCTTCCCTCTGTTCCCGCAGGTGATGGAGACTCGCCAGGTGTCCAGGAGCCCCTGGGTGTGGCTGCTGCTGCTGCTGCTGCTGCTTGTGCCAGGGGGCACCCGGCCGGCCTCGAGAGTCGCCCTGCCCCCCGCCGGGGTCCTCAGGTGCGTGAGAAGCCCAGGGCTTTTGGGGAGGAGTGACGGGCACTAAAGAGAAAATGGATGTGGGGTGGGGCTGGGGGCAGGATGGGATCATAGGGGAAGTGGGAAGAGGAAGACAGAAAAAAAGATGGAAAGGTAAGGAGTATGGGTGCAGTGACTCATGCGCCGTCCTGGGTTTGCAACAGGTACGCACAGAGCACCGGGGTGGCAGGTGCGTCGGGCTCAGGCCCTCCACTCGCGGGAGGGAAGGGGGCTTTGGATCGGGCAAGCTGGGATCCAGGGGCCCACCAGAGCGAAGGAGGGAGGGACAGGAGCCGCACATGCCACCTTCCGGTAACCGCGCCTCTCGGTCTCCCCGAAGCCTCCGCCCCCGGGACCGGGCCTGGGCGACTCCCGCCAGCCCGCTCTCGCGGCGGAGTCTGGCGCTGGCAGACGACGTGGCCTTCCGGGAGCGCGCGCGGCTGCTGGCCGCCCTGGAGCGTCGCCACTGGCTCAACTCGTACATGCAGAAGCTGCTGGTGCTGGGTGCCCCCTGAGCGCCCCGAAGCCCCCCAGGCGCCCGCCCCAATAAAGAACCGCAGAGAGCCCGCCACCGAGCCTCCCTTCTTGTGTGACAGAGAGAGGTGGGGGTGGGGTGGGCGGTTGCGTCGTCCCCTTTGACGTCTCCCCCTTAACATTTGAGGTGCGAGCACACACACGGTCGGAGCTCTCCCTCCTGGCTCACTTTCCCCTCGCCTGTCGTGAAGGTCAGGACTGGACGAGGCCTGGAACTCAGTCCAGGCTGCCATGTGGGTGCTTGCAGGAAGCTGGCCTCGGGAGCGAGGCGCGGGATTCCAAGCCAGATACTCCGATGTGGGGGCGGGCGCCCCAGTGTTTGACGAAGCTCTGTGCCAAATGCCCCCCCCCTTTCCTCTCGGAGCTGGCTCCACGCTCTGCATCGCACTGCGCCCCCTGCTCTGCCACCTCCCCATCCCCGGGTCTCTCTCCTCCCTGGAGATCTGTTCTCTTCTAAGTCCTGCCCCCTCCCCCCCTTTTTAAGGATTTGTTTTTATTGGAAAGGCAGATATACAGAGAGAAGGAGAGAGAGGGGAAGATCTGTCCACTGGTTCACTTTCCAATGGCCAGAGCTGAGCTGATCCCAAGCCAGGAGTGTCTTCTGGGTCTCCCACACGGGTGCAGGGTCCCAAGGCTTTGGGCCGTTCGCCACTGCTTTCCCAGGCCACAAGCAGGGAGCTGGATGGGAAGTGGAGCAGCCGGGATTAGAACCGGTGTCCATATGGGATCCTGGTGCATGCAAGGCGAGGATTTAGCCTGTAGACTATCGCCCCGCCCCTTTCTGCCTGTAAAATTCCCCCCTCACATCTAATAACCCTCCCCGTCAGTTCTCCGTCCGCCTCCTTCATCACTTTTCCTTCTTCGTGCCATCATGCCTGTTTTCCAGATCTGCATTTTTCTGGACATTTCAACACTTCTTGTCCACTCATGTTCACACTTCTTCCGTGGTGCCGTGGAAAGATCTGGGCTGTGGTGTGGGATGCGCCTGACATTCCAGCCCTGGTGCCCCTGGTGCCCCACGGGGCATTGGAAAAGGGGTGCCTCATTTCCTTCATCTGCTCCCAGGGCCCAACCTGGGAGGAAAACTTGAGCAAAACGCTCTCGCTGGAGAAAGGTCTCCCCGGCTTTCTCTCAGCAGTTTCTTCGGGCTCTTTTAGCTGCGCCCTTCATAAAAGACCGTCAGGGTGCCAGTGTGGGGCCTGTCTCCCAGGCCTGGCAGCGCGTCAGCCCCGCCCGCAGTGGTGACCGTGGTAACGGCCCGGGTTGCGCTCGTGCGGACGGCGCGCTGATTGGAGAAGAGGATGGGCCGGTGCGCCGGCAGCAGGTGGGGCTGGGACCTAGGGCTTGGCTAGAGCGCCTGGGATTTGCAGATCCGCGAGATGAACCGAGTTCTAATTGGTCCTTGGCATGCAGAGGCGGGACTCTGTCATTTAGGAATACTGAATAACGAAAAGAATTAACTTCTTCAAAACCACCCGGAGTTGACTGACTTTTACAAGTCAGCCAACAGGACTCTGAAAGTCAGGTGCAATTCTCCTAAGTCAGCTCTAGTAAGGGACAGAAGAATAAATAGAATCCAAATCTGTGTGTGTGTGTGTGTTTAAGATTTAGTTTAAAGGGAAGCAGAGGAGGAGACCATCAGAGAGTGAGCGAGGAGGGGGTGAGTGGGAGAATCTGTCCCCCGCTGGGTCACTCTAATGTCGGCAACAATGGGCCGGGCCAGGCAGGAACCTGAACTCTGCCTCGGTCTCCCGCGGGCGGCAGGGCCCCAAGCACGAGGACCATCTCCCACTGCCTCCACAGGTGGATGAGCAGCGGGCTGGGTGGGGAGCGGAGCAGCAGGGGCTCCAAGCGGCTCCGGCAGGGGTGCGGTGTGACCCAGCCAAGCCATGACCTAACCCCTCGCATCGCAGTGCCTCACTCAAACCTGTGCAAGTTCAAGTCTAGAGTTCCTCACTGTTGTCTGACGTAGGGACAGTGCTAACACGCAGTTGCTCTGTGTCAGGCGTGCGTCTCTGCACCGTATTTTTACTGGCTTTTGGGCTGGCATTGTGAGGAGGGGCTCCTTGGTCTGCTGGAGAAGGGGCGGTGGGCGCTGGCCTGGGCTCCCCCCACACCTCCTGGGTCCTCAGCGCCCGGGCACAGCACTGAGAACCCCTCTCCTTCCTTCCTTTCCTCCCTGCCTACCCCCAGAATAAAGCAGTCCCCACAGCTTCCAGCAGCCTCCATTGCTGAGAAAGCCCAGCCTCTGTCAGCATCAGGGTCCAAAAGCACACGAACTCAGGGTTTCTTCAGACACACCCCTCCCCAGCACCCCTCCCCAGGCACCCCTCCCCAGGCACCCCTCCTCAGACACCCCTCCCCAGGCACCCCTCCCCAGACACCCCATCTCAGACACCCCATCTCAGACACCCCTCCCCAGACACCCCATCTCAGACACCCCTCCTCAGGCACCCCTCCCCAGACACCCCTCCCCAGGCACCCCATCTCAGACACCCCTCCCCAGGCACCCCTCCTCAGGCACCCCTCCCCAGACACCCCTCCTCAGGCACCCCTCCCCAGACACCCCTCCTCAGACACCCCTCCCCAGACACCCCATCTCAGACACCCCATCTCAGACACCCCTCCTCAGGCACCCCTCCTCAGACACCCCTCCCCAGACACCCCATCTCAGACACCCCTCCTCAGGCACCCCTCCCCAGGCACCCCTCCCCAGACACCCCTCCTCAGACACCCCATCTCAGACACCCCTCCTCAGACACCCCTCCCCAGGCACCCCATCTCAGACACCCCTCCTCAGGCACCCCTCCCCAGGCACCCCTCCCCAGGCACCCCTCCCCAGGCACCCCATCTCAGACACCCCTCCTCAGGCACCCCTCCCCAGGCACCCCTCCCCAGACACCCCTCCCCAGGCACCCCTCCCCAGGCACCCCTCCTCAGGCACCCCTCCTCAGACACCCCATCTCAGACACCCCTCCTCAGGCACCCCTCCCCAGACACCCCTCCCCAGGCACCCCTCCTCAGACACCCCTCCCCAGACACCCCATCTCAGACACCCCTCCTCAGGCACCCCTCCCCAGGCACCCCTCCCCAGGCACCCCTCCCCAGACACCCCTCCCCAGACACCCCATCTCAGACACCCCTCCCCAGGCACCCCTCCCCAGGCACCCCTCCCCAGGCACCCCTCCTCAGGCACCCCTCCTCAGGCACCCCTCCCCAGACACCCCATCTCAGACACCCCTCCCCAGGCACCCCTCCCCAGGCACCCCTCCCCAGGCACCCCTCCTCAGACACCCCTCCTCAGACACCCCTCCTCAGGCACCCCTCCCCAGACACCCCATCTCAGACACCCCTCCCCAGCACCCCTCCTCAGGCACCCCTCCCCAGGCACCCCTCCCCAGGCACCCCTCCCCAAGCACCCCTCCCCAGACACCCCATCTCAGACACCCCTCCCCAGGCACCCCTCCTCAGACACCCCATCTCAGACACCCCATCTCAGACACCCCTCCCCAGGCACCCCTCCTCAGACACCCCTCCCCAGACACCCCATCTCAGACACCCCTCCCCAGACACCCCTCCCCAGGCACCCCTCCCCAGGCACCCCTCCCCAGGCACCCCTCCCCAGGCACCCCTCCCCAGACACCCCTCCCCAGGCACCCCTCCCCAGACACCCCTCCCCAGGCACCCCTCCCCAGACACCCCTCCCCAGGCACCCCTCCCCAGGCACCCCATCTCAGGAGTCAGTCCTGGGGTCATACTGCAGGTCGCCCTACCCCTCCCTCCTTGTGTGAGCCTCCAGTCTGTCCCCTCCTGTCTACACTTGGGGTACAGCCCCAGCCCCCCTCAGCCCCTTCCTTCAGTCCCATGAAATCCCACAGGGTCTGTCTCCCACCGAGCTGGTTCCCCCTTTTGCTCTTGGCTGTCTCATGGACACTGGGACCGAAGCTCAAGCCTTCACCGGTTCTCACCTCTCCCACCGTGCCACAGCCCCAGATCCTTCCTTGAATATAAATCCTTTTTCACTTAAAAATGTTTGTTTACTTATTTTAATTTATTTAAAATGCAGAGCTATGGAGGAGAGGGAAGGGTGGCAGGGGGAAGAGAGAGCGAATGACTCTCTCTCCTCCGCTGGTTCACTTCCTGGAAGTCTGAACCATCCAGAGCGGGGCCAGGCCGGGGCCAGGAGCAGACGCCCATCTGGGCCCCGACATGAGTGGCAGGGCCCAGGTACTCGAGCCGTTTCTGCTACCTTCAGGCTGCATTAGCAGGAAGCTGGATCAGAAGCTAAGCAGCTGGGACTGGTGCCCCAGTGGGCAATATGGGCATCCCGAATAGTAGCTTAGCCCACAGTGCCACGAAGCCACCTTCCATCTAAGCCCAGCCTCAGAGTGCTGCCTGTCACCGCCCCACTCTGGAGGTCTCCCTCACCACCGGGCCTCACATAGACCACTTCCTGTGCCTGACACCTGTCCCTGGCCCCTGCACACTGCAACCAACCCTTACCTGCTCAAGAGTAAACACAGATGTCATTTACCTGGATACAGGAGGTGCCCAATAAGCTGCTTTTGGGTTCTCAGACCCCATCTCTTCCCTCTTCTCGCCTCAGCCTCACTCAGGGGGAATGGGCTTTGTGCCTAACTGGGCATCCCAGCTGAGCCCTGAGCACAGCTGGCAGTAACCAGAGCGAGGAGTTCTGTTCCTGCATACATTTCCATGCGAGACGGAAGGTGGCCCACTGCTGACCGAGGACACAGGACTGAGGACACGGGACTGAGCCAACTCAGGCTCCTAACAGGGTGGTCGCAGGATGGAGTCAGGATCAAGGAGGAGGGAGAGGGCAGAGAGCAAAGGCATGAGGAGCCCCTTCCGTGCACCCAGCATTGCATGGGGGTACCTCGCAGGCTGAGGGCTGGTGGTCACGGAGCCCCGAGTGTCCTCCAGGTCCCTGTTCTGTGCCATGGGGGAGGCTGAATGAGACACC